GTCCTCCCACCTTGGCCTCCTAAGTGCTGGGATTATAGGCACGACACACCACACCTGGCCTATACCTTAATTTAAAAATAATTTATTGCTAAAAAATGCTAACAATCACCTGAGAGTTGTTGCAATCTTTCTCCAGAGAGTTGTAATATTTCTGCTGGTGTAAGGTATTGACTTGATGTTGATGGCTGCTGACTGGTCAGGGTGGTGGTTGCTGAAAGTTGGGGTGGCGGTTGCTGAAAGTTGGGGTGGCTGAAGCAATTTCTTACAATGAGACAACAGTTAAGTTTACTGCATTGGTTGACTCTTTTTTCATGAAGGATTTCCCTGTAGTATTGTACTATTGTACTATTTGTACTGTTGAAGAGAGCTAGGGCCATGGTCTGGGTTGGGCTTTGGCTTAAGGGAATGTTGTAGCTGGTTTGATCTTCAGTTTAGACCATTCAAACTTTCTCCACATCAATAATAAGACTTTCTTTCTTTTCTTTTCTTTACTTTTTTTTTAATGTTTCCAGACTTATGCAATACTTTGTGACTGGTAGATTTCTGTTTTGACATTCTTTATTTATTTATTTATTTTTAAATGTGATGCTGTTTGATAGCATTTTACCCACAGTAGAACTTCTTTCAATATTGGAGTCAATCCTTTCAAATGCTGCTACTGCTTTATCAATTAAGTTTTTGGAAATTTCTAAGTCCTTTGTTGTCATTTCAACAATGTCCACGCATCTTCACCAGGAGTAGTTTCCATCTCAACAAAACCACTTTCTTTGCTGATCATTAAGATGCACTTCTCATCTGTTCAAATCTGACCATGAAATTGCAGCAATTCAGTCACATCTCCAGGCTCCACTTCTAATTCTAGTTCTCTTGCTATGTCCACCACACCTGCAGTGACTTTACTGAAGTCTTGGAGCTCTCAGAGTCATCCAGGAGGGCTAGAATCAACGTCTTTCAAACACTTGTTAATGTTGATATTTGTAACCTCCTTCTATGAATCACAAATGTTCTTGAAGTTATCTAGAATGGTGACTCTCTTCCAGAAGGCTTTCAATTTACTTTGCCCAGATCCATCAGAGGAATCACTATCTATGCAATTATAGCCTTATGAAATATATGTCTTAATTAGAAGACTTGAAAGTAAAAATTACTCCTTGATTGATGAGCTGCAGATGATAATATTGTGTTAGCCAGCATGAAACAACATGCATCTCCTTGTACATCCCTATCAGAGCTCTTGGGTGACCAGATGCATTGTCAATGAGTAGTAATATTTTGAAAGAAACCTTTTTTATCGTGAGCAATAGGTTTCATCAGTGGGCTTAAAATATTCAGTAAACCATGCTGTAAACAGATGTACTCTCGTCTATGCTCTGTTGTTCTATTGATACAGCATAGGTAGAGTTGATTTAGCATAATTCTTAAAGGTCCTAGGATTTTCAGAATGGTCAATGAACATTAGCTTCAACTTAAAGTCATCAACTGCATTAGACCCTAACAAGAAAGTCAGCCTGTCCTTTGATACTTTGAAGTCAGGCATTGACTTCTCTCCAGCTGTGAAAGTCCTAGATGGCATCTTCTTCCAGTAGAAGGCTCTTTCATCCACATTGAACATCTGTTGTTTGGTGTGATCACCTTCATTAATGATCTTAGCTAGATCTTACTTATTGCAGCTTCTTCATCAGAACTTGTTGTACCTTGCACTTTTGTTATGAAGATGACTTCTTTTCTTAAACCTTATGAACCAACCTCTCCTAGCTTCCAACTTTTCTTCTACAGCTTCCTCACCTCTCTCAGCCTTTGTACTATTGAAGAGAGCTAGGGCCATGGTCTGGGTTGGGCTTTGGCTTAAGGGAATGTTGTAGCTGGTTTGATCTTCAGTTTAGACCACTCAAACTTTCTCCACATCAGCAATAAGGCTTTCTTTCTTTTCTTTTCTTTTTTTTTTTTTTTAATGTTTCCAGACTTATGTAATACTTTGTGACTGGTAGATTTTTGTTTTGACATTCTTTATTTATTTTTTAAAAATTTTATTTTAAAGATGTGGGGTACAATTCAGGGTTAGGTATACAAATATTCATTATGCGGGTACTCTTGTGGATGAGGTGTGCCCTCTCTCCCCCTGTTTTTCTTTCTTATCATTCATGTGCTCACTGGACTAGCAATTTTAATTTCCCTCAAGAACTTTTCCTTTGCAGTCACAATCTGGATAAGTGCTTGGCACAAGAGCCTTAGCTTTTAGCCTGTCCTGGCTTGCAGCATGCCTTCCTCACTAAGCTTAATCATTTCTAGCTTTTGGTTTATAGTAAAAGATGTGTGACTCTTTCACTTGAACACTTAGAAGCCATTGCAGGGTTTATTAATTGACCCAATTTTATTGTTTGATCTCAGGGAATAGGGAGGCCGAGGAAAGGGAGGGAGATAAGATAGAACAGTCAGAACACACAACACTTATCAATTAATTTTTTCATCTTATATAGACATTGTTTGTGGTGCCCCCAAATAATAGTAATATTAAAGATCACTGATAACAGATCACCATAACATATAATAGTAGTAAAAAAAGTTTGAAATATTGTGAGAATTACCAAAATGTGACACAGAAACACAATATGAGCACAAGCTGTTGGAAAAATGGCACTGGTTGGATGTGGTGGCTCAAGCTTACAATCTCAGCACTTTGGGAGGCCGAGGCAAGGGGATTACTTGAACCCAGGAGTTTGAGAATAGCCTGGACAACATAGTGAGATCTCCTCTCTACAAAAAAATCTTTTTAAAAAATTAGCCAGATGTGGTGTTGTGTACCTGTAGTCTTAGCTACTTGAGAGACTGAGGCAGAAAGATTGCTTAAGCCTAGGAGATTGAGGCACAGTGAGCTGTGATCTTGCCACTGCACTCTAGCCTGGGCAACAGAGTGAGACCCTGACTCAAAAAGAAAAAAAGAAAGATGGCACCAATAGGCTTGCTCAACACAAAGTTGCCACAAACCTTCACTTTGTAAAAAACATAATATCTATGAAGCACCATAAGGTGAAGCACAATAAAACGAGGTGTGTCTGTGATAGCTCTAATTGAGGTGAGAGTCATCACAGAAAATTAACTTAGGGAAGAACACTATGAAAAAGCCTTTAGTATTTGTATCATATGAGGATTTTAGGATGGGGCAGGTTGCCCTTCATGTAGCAGCTTGTGAAGAGGAGAAAAGATTTCTCACCTACCTCATGGTTCATGGCTGAAGCATCCATAATAATAATAATAAAAGATTAAGAAAAAAACAAAGACATTTCTTTAAAATAGGTTTTATGTGACACAGGAGTCTTCAAAAATGAAGACCTCCCCCTCAGGGAAAAATATTATTTTCATGGAGAGTCATGCAGAGTATGACTGGAGGACAATGAACAGAGGGAACCTAGCAAGGCCTGTATCTTCAGATTTGTCTCTGTGTCCCTGTGTCTTCAGAGATAAATGAATTCTTTTCTTCTGGGTATAGGGAGAACCCCTTTGAAATGATATTCTTATGCCCAATGTCACAGGGAGGTCAACTAGTTTTTATGTCTTGCTTCAGGGGAGAAGGGGTGAGGGGAATTTTTTCTAGTTTCTACGGCCTGCTCCTGGAGAAGGTCAGAGAGACCTATCTGCTTCTGCTATTTCCTCCTATGCTAAGGTACTGTATTTTGGGATAGCATGTCCTGAACCCATCATATACATGTGTGAATATTTTCATTTTGACAATGGTAAAGTCTGAGAGAATTCTGATTTTAATCACAAGTTTCTGTATGTAGACAACTGTTTGGATTGTTCCCATTATGGTATTATGGAAGTTTGTGGAAAATATTGTTATTAAAAATGCAGTGACATGGTACATAATGATGAAATTCAGATTAGGTGGTCTGGGAAGATCTCACTGAGGAGGTTGGCAGCTGAGCTGAGCCCGACTGGGAAGGAGCCAGGTGTGGAAAGTTCTGGTGGCAGCGTATTCTAGGAAGAGGGCCAGCAAAGGCAAAGGCCCATGGGGCATTGAGCACAGAGGAGACTCATAACAGAGGAGGTGGGAGATATAGGTTGGGACATATGACAGATTCCATAAAGCCAGGCAATGAGGAACGGTTAGGTGTGCTGAGTTGTGATTCACCATGTGTATCACAACTCATCAAAAAGTGCTGTTGGTACAGTGAATTCTCTGTTTAACTTTGGAAAATGACTTAACTTCTTTGAGTCTCAATTTCTCTGTCTGTAAAATGAAGGTGCTGGATTAATACATGAAAACATCTAGCAAGTTATAGTCCCTTGATAAAGGTTAGCTGAGTTAATTAATGCATCTAAGGGCTCCTCTGTGTTTATAAACCTATAATCTTAAACCATCTTCCACCTAAGTTCTTTTGTGGGGATTGGCTAGTCTCGCCCCCTCATTTCTCAGCTGAGGAAGCTGAAAGATGTTAGTTGACTCTGTGTGGAACCTACATTGGGCAATTCCTGGGCCACAGGCCACAGGCCACAGGCTGCATTATAAAATTGAGCATTGGACAAATGAGAACATTAATGGGATATTTAATATCATCATGGCAATAGTATTATACTTTTAGCTATGATAATGGCATCGAGGACATTTCTAGAAAGAGTTTTTATCTTTTGCAGTTTCATATAAAAATAATTTAGTGTTGGAGAGGGGGAAAGGATGAAACAAGATTCAGGCTCGGAATCAGTAAATGTTGGATCTGGGTGAAGGATACCTAGGAATTTATACTATTTTGACCACTTTTTTATGTATATGAAATTTTCCATAATAAACTACTTTAAAAAAAGAAGATCAGGTCTGATTGGAGGAGAAACCAGGATGGGTAACAATATTCTTCAGAAGTTATAGGTAGACGGGCTTTTTTCTCCCAACAAAGACCTAGAGACACTGAGGTCCATAGCAAGTGAAGGGCTTTTGATTCTGGTAATTCATTGAAAATCACCCCCACCATCAGGCAGAGTCAGAAATAAGCATCCATGGCCTGACATGTGTCCACATTTACACATTTATTTGGGTTTAGATAGACAACACAGATAAAATACTTGGATCATACACAAGTTTATATTTGGTAAGAAGAACAGGTTGCCACATGTTCGTATGTTTTATGTTTTTATTTTTTTTCTGTCTTTAATAATGGAGTAATGTTGGGGAAATGTCAATGTCATTCAGAAACACCAATTGGGAATAGTATTTTGGCACACGTAACTAACAAATACACAGTGTTTGCATTTAGCATTTTAAAACAGAAGAGCACGTGCAAGATGATACCCAGTTGGAGGATTCCTGATTCCTTGTCTGGCCACTATATTTACACCTGTGCCTCCTTGGTCCATGTTCTGGGTAGCAGCACCGACTCCCACCCCCAGCAGGGCCAAAACCTGTGGTTTTGGCAGGGTGACACTCCATGATTGGTTTCTTCTATTCTCAGAGACAAAGTCATATTCACCTTGCATATTGTGAAATCACACAATTCTCAAAGGAAGTTTCTCAGCAGAGGGCTTAGCTGAGGGCATGTTCTCTATTAGAGCTGATGCGGAGGGCATACAGTTTAGGGGGGGAAGAGAGAGAGAGAGAAAGAGAGAGAGAAGAGAGAGCAGGAAGAAATGTAGTTTTCATAATATCAAAGTTCAATACAGCTACCACACAGAAAAAGACATACCAATAATATATTGTACAAGCTTTTACAGAAACACATGTTGAATCGCAACACTGTACAGTTCAGATCTAAAGTGCACAACCCCAATCTGAGGGACAAGAAAGTACTATCAAAATAATAAAGGCAACACAGTCACATACAATTGATTTCCTTTTCTTTCCTCACATCCTGTGATAGTACATGAAGTCCATATCACATACAGGTCTCAGATAAAGACATACCGTACTTTCTTTTCAAGTATCTTAAATAATAAACACAATATTGCTGTATAAATGAAAATGGCCATATCAATTCTGAGTAAAGCTAAAACCAAACTCTTCTAGAATTTGTAAAGAATGGTCCCACATAAAGACCTTTGGCACTAGAATTTGAGCTAATATTCAAAACAATCTCCCTTCTTTCTTTCCTTCCTTTGTTCTTTCCTTCACTTCTTCCACCCCTCCCTCCTGAACAGATTATAGATCTACTTTAAGGAGTATTTATGAAACTCCTGGGCCATGGCTGGTAGGGATTTTCCTGTACGGGAGCTGAGCAAGACACCCCGGCAAATTTGAGAAAGGACCTGAAAGGGGTAGGAGAGTGGGAGAGAAAACTTCTTGGTAAAAATAGTTTTGCAGGAATTTCATGCACAGGCACAGATTGTTCTTTTACATTCTGTCATCTCATCAAGCTAAAAAGCAGCAGTTTCTGATCTAGGGTCTGTGCCCCAAGGAATAAGTATTCTGGAGTAGAGGGGGCAGGTCTATCAGGGCATTAGTCTCCACACTGTTTGGTCTTCTCCAAGTAGGACAGCGGGCTGGATCAGTTAGTGTCTCTGCCTCTGAAGTGGGACCTTTGGGCTTAAAATAGCTGGGAAACTACACACTTATTCTCAGCAGTCAATTTTGATAAAGGAAAGAGATACTTAGTCATTAGACAAAGCCTAGAACAAAAGACTTTTTCTTCCTGGAATTCTACAGCACAGATAAAGAGTTTATTTCTAATTGTCATAGTGAGTCATTTGCTTTCTATACAGAAAGGCCCCAAACCATGTTCCAATCAAGTGTCAATGTTTTGTATATAATCTGGGAGAGATAATGCAGGGGCAAGTTTATGAAGATTTCAGGTGGTTGGATCCTGTGGTTACATTATAGGGCATTTCTATCTGTTGAAGGGCAAGGGCCATTTCTCTTTTCTTGTATACCTGTAGTCTTTCTCACTATTGAACTGCCTGATCCATACAAAAGAGAGAATGTTTCTAAATTTGCATTTGTAGTCTGCATATACAAGTCTGTAGCTTTCCTACCAGCACTTGGAATCAGACAATCTGAGGTACTCTTTAAAACCTTCTATGGAAGGTTTTGCTAGCTCATGTCTCTCCATCAGGTTTGCAGGGAAGATGGACATTTTAAAAATATAATTTTAAGTTCTAAGGCTCTTATTACCTCTGGTTACTTGGGATCTTGATGGGAGACGATTAAAATTTAGAAGGTCTTAAAGATGGTGGCTCAAAAGCTAGGGTGAGGAATTCATTTCAGGAAAAGGAAAGAAACACTGGTGGAATAGAAATTAATTATCTGAGATCCCAGTGATAGAGAGTTCTAGCAGGAGAGACTTTCACGGGTAGAAATGAGAAGGGAATGGGAATAAGCAGTTGCCCAGGAGGCAAATTACTCCTTCCTAGACAGTGGCAAAATGGCAATATGGCATTCAGGATGATGTCATGATAGTCCCACAGAGATCTCTTCTCCCAAGGCCAAGTTTAATTTTCTGGTTACCCCATATTCTGGGAGTGTACTTCATTCCTCTTTGCTCAGGCTGATTAGGTTTTATTTTATTTTCTCTCATTAATTCAAATGGCCTAATAAAATAATACTGTTAGGGGAAGATGCCTCAAGAAGCAGCATCAACCTTCTGTTCAAAACAGGCTGAAGTGGGAAGTAGAATAGAGACGATTACCCTAACTTCATCTAAGATACAGTTTGGCTTGTCATGCTTAAGAGTGGGTCTGCTAGGAGTAAACTGAGGGGAAAACCTGAATGGGAAGAGAATCTTATTGCCAATCTGATAAATCATTTTAAAGAACTTGCAGTATTCTTTTGTGTTTGTTTTGAAATACTAACTTGGGAGATATGATAAGCTATAACATGCATAGAAAGAAGGAATCACACCTTTTAAGAATTTTGTGGGTCTGTGTTTCAAAATAACTTTGCTAAGTGTGCTATTGCGCCTCCATCAAAAGAAAGAGGGAAAAAAAAATCTCGCTTAGTTTTTATATCTGCCCCTGCAGTTTGTATAACCCATATAAAATAAAAATCTATATGTTACAAAATAGGATTTCTTTGTAATATATATATATTTTCCTTTTGTAAAATTATATGTATTTAAATACATTTGAAATGTTGCTATAGGTAAATTAGAAATTTTTTTCTAATACTATGAAAAAGGCAAGAGTTTTTATTGTCAACATACATTTTATATTTACTTTATCCTTTTCACTGCACCCCAAAGAACCTTTTATGATTCAGGGGCAATTTGGCACTATTCAGTCCTACTACTCTGAAGTGAAAATAAAGTTTGATTTGCATACTATATGAAAAGTATGGGAAGTATTTATAATAATTTTAAGCTTTTTCTTATTGATTAGAACACAGCCTTTTGTAACTAATTATTAGAGAGGTATTCTAAACTTAAGAAAGGATTTTAAAAGGAGCAATGTTTTCTTGATTTTTAAATCCTACTCTACTTTGACACCACAATATAGAAATAGATTTACTTTGGAACAAACTACAAATACATTCACACAGTTTGTGACAACTTAATTGTCTACCTAGAGAAGTGAAACAGCTTGGTTAGCTAGATTATTATAAATCTTGTCCAAGGCGTTCTATTTCTTCAATCAGGAAATCAATGTCTTGGTGAGTTGCTGCGGGGTTTGAGATGACCATGCGGAAGAAATTGACCTTGTCTCCCAAGGGTTGGTAGCTAACCATTGTGGTTCCATACTCCATCATTCTGGCTTTAATCACTGGAGCCACCTGTGGGAGAGACCATATCAGCATGGTGACCTTCTCCTGGGACTCTCCCCTTAGTCAAAGAACCCAAATAGCAAGCAGCATTTTTAGTTTTTAACTAACAATCAGAATCGCATTTGTTTTCTCTTCAAGGAATTGCCTCCAGTTTTCTTGGGACTAAAGGACTAGAACAGTTCTAGACATTCAAAGTTCTGAGGATGACAAGAGAAATAATAAGTGGCAGGCTATCACATGCTTGCCACCTTGTCCTTGACTTTCTAGTTAATGTTTTGGGAGAATGGGAGGAATCTAGCACTGGGCCCACAGCTAATTAGTTTACCAATACAACATTTGGGGGTGGGATTTCCCCCCAGAAAATGTAAAAACACTGGGAATAAAACCAAGTTCAAAGAATTGTTACCAAAAGGATTGTTTCAGTATCAAGTGATGTGTGAAGATGAGCAGACTTTCAGCAACTTTTTTGAGATCCCACAAAACTTTCTAGTTTTTTATTCTCTCTTTGCATTGTCTCAGTTTATAAGATATTTTGAAGAATATTCTTTAATGATGACAGATCAAGCTAGTGCAAAAAGCTGAACCCACAAGGACTTAGCACTCATATGTTACATATACATATCTTATTGCAGACGCTGTATTTATGCCAAACTGCTGATTACAACCTCAGTAGTTCTCTATTGTATGTGAAATTAACTTTAAACTCTTTAGCTCAGCACAAAGGCCAAAATGAATCTTTAACTCTGACAAGACTTATTTATTCAATATCCCCTGAATATACCACTTGTACCTCTATCCCCTCAGTCTTGTCATTAATGTTACCATGTCACACTTGTTCTCTTTGCTCAGCATTCCTTCTTTTCCAGTTCAGATCCTACACACACTCCAAGATGCCATCACAGTCCTATAACTGCTATGAAGCCTTTCTCCAGTCTATTGGTACTCCCTATTCTTCAGCTGTAAATATGTAAATCTTCCCCATGGATTTTGACCATATGCCAATTTCCTATCATCCTCTTACTTGTGAATACATACATTTTTTCTGTCTACTTCAGACATAAGGTTCTGGAGGGCAAGCACAACCTCTTTCATTTCTTTTGGTCACCGGCACAGTGCTGGGTACATGTTGAGGGATTTCTGAGTTCTCGTTGCTATAAAGACTAGCATAAAAATAACAGCTATCTAGAAAGAGGCACAAATTTAAATCACATGTAACTATATGTATGATCTGTTCACATATATTTACCACTGGAGTTTATAAATACAACATCTATTTTCTTAAGTTCATTGCTGCAAATCTGTAGAATGGTAGATGTCAGAGAAGCTTTAAAGCTTAGATATACATGGTCAGAAACTCAGTTCAAAATGGGGCCCATGCCTTGCATTATAGTTGGGCTTATTTTAAAGGAAGGATAGGATCGCCTAAGCCCAGCAGGTTGAGGCTGTGGTGGCTGCGAGAGTGCCACTGCACTCCAGCCTGGGCAACAAAGGAAGACTCCAACTCAAAAAAAAAAAAAAAAAAAAGAAGAAGAAGAAGGATAGTTAGATTCATATGGAACGTTATTATGAATGTGTGAATTTCAAATATCAATTCCTAAATAATCATTGGTTAACAATGAAGTTTTCAGCTTCAAAGTACTCAATGCACAAAACCATCAAGTTTCCCATCAGGCCCAATCATTTATCTGTTACTAAAGAAAAAGTAAACAGATAGACTTCACCTTCACCTTCACTTTACATTCTAAACCTAATTTCCTCATTTAAAAATAAATGTGGATGATGATTCCAGTACCGAGATGTTCTGATTCTAGATTAATGAGTTCTTACATCCTTCCCTGCCCTGTCCTTGTTCCATAGGGAGGTGATGTAAAGAGGAATATTTGTTGGGTTGATCTTTCTTTCACCTAAAGGATTAAGAATGTATGCAGAGCACTGTGCTCATACCTAGGAATAAATATTTAAAAGATTTTAAATATCTAAATCTGGGATTAAGTTCTGAAAATAGATTTGCTAGAATATTTTAGCTTAAGGGACATGAAAGTTATCACTTTGTGCTGCCAGGCATGTCAAGTCAATGTGGCTCCTGGAAAGAGAAATCAAATTAGAAAAGGAATTCCAAAGCCACATGACTAGCCGGGCTCGGTGGCTCAGCCTGTAATCCCGCGCCTTTGGGAGGCTGAGGTGCGTGGATTGCCTGAGCCCGAGGGTTCGAGACCTGCCTGGGCAGCGAGACCTCATCTCTACAATAAATCAAAAAATCAGCCGGGTGTGGTAGCGCGCGCCTGTAGTTCCGGCTACTCAGAAGGCTGAGGCGGAAGGATCGCCGGAACCCAGCAGATCGAGGCTGCAGTGGCCAGGGGCGGCCACTGCACTCCAGTCTGGGCGACAGAGTGAGACTCCAACTCAAAATAAAACAAAACAAAACAAAACAAAAAAAACAACCACATGGCTGCAAGAATTTAAGGAAAAGTCACAAAGCTATTCCTTAGTCTTATTTGTATAATAAACCGTACTTTCTCTTTAGAACTGATAAAATAATGACAATGCATTACTCAGTGAATTAAATTCTCATTTAGTTTTCATGGGCAATTCAAGCAAAAACACATAAGAATGTCACTAATTATTAAGGATAATCATCTCCAACTTTTCAGATGAATGCAAATCAAGGGTCAAAAGATTAATGCTAATAGCCACATCCCAAACAGATTTTAGCATAAAGTGAGACTGAATCCCCTCAGTTCCTGAAATAAGCTGAGTTGGCAGAAATCACAGCTGTCTAAATACACATGACTTTTGGTTGCTTCCAGAAAATGCCGATGAACTAAAATTAGCTGGAACATGGAACATCTACTTCATTGTATATTCACTAATTGCAAATTAAGAAGAAAAATATGATTCTGATAAATATATGTGATCTGAGAGTCCAAAATTGACACTTCTTTATTAACTAAGATGGACCCTAAGGTTAGGAAACCAAATTACCTTCAGGTTGAGAGTTCAGAGCCCTGCTGGGTTGTCAAATTTCTAAATTCCCAGGACTCTAAAATCCCTAATGATAGGAGCCATCAGACCCCTCCTAACTGATTTACAACCCAGATCACTACAACTCTGAATGGACAGAGGATCAGCCTTACAAACATTCTCTTCTGATAACCAATTGCAGACCTTAAGCCAGTTTCAGCAGCTAGCAGAGGCTGGGCACAAACTGTCTTTGTGCCCTATAGTTCACCACTTGATGTAAAGAGCCAAATTCCACCTTATTTTAATGCTGAAACCCTGTCCCAAAAGGACCATGGGATGTATGACACATATATGTTTACCCATTGAGTAAGTGCTTGGCTTACCTCATAAATATGTATAGCTTTTCCCCCAAACCTACTGAATATGTATGACTCTATTGTGTGAAGCAAGCCCTGTGAGGCATAAAATCTAATGGGTCTTGCCCATCTTGGAAGAAAAAGCACTTTCAGCACATGTTGGAGACTGTCTCTTCTTGTTTTACAAACTGATGCCTCCACTAAAACTCTCCTTTCTACTATTTAGTCATCCTGGTGGTCTTTTGGATGATATATATAGTTTTTCACTTATTTCTAGGCTTTTTTGGGAGGGTAGACTATTGGTTTTGCTGAAGAAAGCCAGTTGAGAAAGAGAGAGTCTGCATGCTAAAGAATTCACTAAAGGCTTAATCAATAGAGCTCTCTGGGATTACCTTAAGATTTTTAGGGTATTGTTTTCTCTCTTGTGCAATTTACTTTTTCAATCCTTCAGAAAGCAATAGCCAGGGGACTCTTCCAAAATGCGAATCCACATTTGTTTACTCCAAAGAGGGTTCATATTGAAGCATCGTAAAATATATCATAGAAGATACAAGATATCATAGAAATGTATTTTTCACCATGTGTTTGAAAACCTCTTATGTTTTTAAAATTTGGAAATCTGAGAGAAATTTTTGAAAAATGAAAATGCAGAATAACCACAAATAAGACATTCTAAACTGTTAAAATCTCACCAATTACATTCCCCATTACACTTAATACCATAGACTTTGAGTCACTTTAAATATAAGGCCAAACCACTTCTTGCCAATTTAGTATTAAATCCACTGACGACCCTTTGAAAGTCCATCAATCCATGTAGACTATGAAAGCTGACAGAAGACATGAAGATAATGATCAAGAATAATGAAAATCAAAATAAAAGAAGATGATAAAGAAGAACAAGAAACACAAGAGGCGATTGATAGACCAGTCTTTTTGATTCTTGTTTGATAAACACTGACACAGAGTCTACTTGCTGCCACTTCTCTGTGTCTAAGGCATTTGTGTCTGGTCAGGTCCCTACAGCATCCCACATGTTCTTCATTTATGCCACCTCAGTGACCAGGTGCCACATGCACTCACAGACCTGACTGTGAAAAATAAATTTCTGTTGCTTATAAGCCACCTAACCTATAGTAGTTTGTTTTTGAAGCCTGTGACTAAGATAGTACTTTAGCTCAACAAATGATTTTTGAGTGCCTTATGTATGTTAAAATATGAGTGCCTCATGTATGTTAAAGTACCAGACAAGAGGGTACAAAGAGTAATCCTCTGCCTTGTCTTGTCCAGAACTTTGTTCTCTTCTTTCTGTACACTACACAGAAGACTCCACATTTCCTTCTACTTTAGGTCTATATTTGCATTGACCAAGAGTACTCTATAGAATGATGGGGATCTTCTGTATCTGTACTATCCAGTACAACGCCACCGGTCACAAGATGAGCAGCTGAAATGTGGCTAGAGTGATTGGAGAACCGAGTTTTTAGTTGAATTTAATTTTAATTGATATAGGTTTAAATGTAAATAGTCACACATAGCTATCAAGGCAGGGCAGTTAGTGCAGGTTAGACATAGGTAGATACATTTCTTGAAGGCAATTTTTAGCTTAAAATAAGGAAGCGTCCAGACGTCTTTTCTGCAGGCCAAATCTCCCTGTCTAGAATGTGGATTCAGTGTGGACTCCCAGGCCACCTCACCCCCTCAGCTCATCAGAGAAAAGCCCATCAAGGTGGGTCCCTGACTGGGCATCAAAAGCTACAGAAATGTAAATCAGACAACCTTTTAGCTCATAGCTACCATGTCTGGCAAGTCAGCCTATCAGGACAGAATGTGTGTTCTGGGAAAAGCCTGCACTGTGTCCTGTCAGAGACTGAGATGTGGTAATCCCTCTGCAGGGGAAACCTGTGCTCCACCCTCTCTAGCATATCAATTATTGTGAGAACATATCAAGCTTTTAGTCAAGAGCAAAAGTATGGTTTTTCTTTTCAGGAGATCCTCCCATGCCAGTTCTCTCTTTCTCTGGCATGAATCTCTCTTTTTTTTCTCACTGATAAACTCTGTTTAAAAACTTTGCAGCTGCTCTGAAATTCCTTTCAGTAGTGCATCAAAGGACCCGCAAGTCACTACACCCCACTCGGCAACAGCTATTACTACAATAGTGGACAGTACCAATTATTTATTTCACCTCCGTTCTTTTCCCTCTGGGAGTGTGTGTGCTTGTGTGTGTGTATGTGTATGTGTGTGTGTGTGTGTGTGTGTGTGTGTGTGTGTGTGTGTGTGTGGTGTGTGTGAATATTTTATGGATTCCTAGACTTTATATTCTAAGGATTTCACTCTGAATAAGGAACTGTCTTAAAACTCTGAAAAACTACAGACGTAGATGAAAAGTTAACCTTGATATTTCATGTGACCCTATTTACATTTCCAAATCTGAATTGCTGAAGTCTCTCTATTACAGTAATAAAAATGGAGTTGCGGCAGAGAGAAAAATCAGGAGTATTCATTCTGGAATCCCCAGTGACTTTCCAATTTGAATTCCAACAGTCTAAAAACAGTTTACCAATATTTTAGTTGCTGTCCTCAGGAAATAATCTCCATCTCCATCACAGCTTATGTGAAGAGTTGTTTTTAAATGGGGGCACTTCAGAGTTGACTTTGGCTCAGAAAATAAAGAAAAAAACCTTTTTGTTCTGTATTTCCATCCTGCCCCAACCCTCATCCCAGTGATGATGCAGTGATTCAACAAATGAAATCAGCCAAGCTACTCCAGATTCTCAGTCTGGTCAGTTGGTTCATTAAAGAAGTGAAAGGAAATAGGAATGGAAGCATCTAATTTCTAACTTGTTAAATAAAATCAATCACTGTTAAGAAAATGTATGCTATGGAGAAGCTACACCATAAAAATTCCAGCAAAAATATGGATTATTTTTACTCAAAAAAAAGGACATCCTCCCCCTTTTTATGGCCTGTGCTCATCATCTTGTCCAATGTGACCTCTGTTCCCTCCCTCCCACCTCTTAGGCTTCATATCCTGGAATGAACCAGTTTCATTAAACCTTCAATCACAACCACAGCCTCTCCCACCCCAGACATATGCACCATGGATCCTAGTTCTAGAAGCTTCCTGCCATTCATTCCTCTAGGTCAGGGATCTCAAGATGAGCTGCAGATTGAGATCTCAAGATGGACTCCACCTAGCTAACTTTTAGAACCATTCCCAGGCCCATCCAAGAGCAATCTGATTAAATTATCAGGATAAGACCTAGTCACCAGAGTTTTTTATGAAGCTTCTGGATGATTCTAATATACAGCCAGGGCAGGGATTCACTACTCTAATTAGGAGTCTTGGTTTAAAGATCTCAGTCATGTATAAGTTTCTTCCTGCTGAGGAGTTTGATCCTGGGTTGCTTAAGGGCAGGTATTAACACATACAAGCTTTTTGGAAGGCTTCAGATACACACAAAATCCTTTCTTCGTTTTACGTAGAAGGAAATAAAGTGTTCTGAAAAGTTGGAGAGGTAGCCCAAGCTTCTGAGCAGTGACAGGAGGCTTGCTGGGTTCCTGGCAGTGACCTGAGGAGGTTCTCTTTTATAATTAACAAAACGAACACCCCAACTAATCAATCAATCAATCAACCAACCTTCTGAGATCCAAGCACACATGACCATCCCTAGTCTCCCATCCCCTACAGCACCATGAAGGGGGCCCTATCTCCCATTGGTGTTCACTGTAAATCCTACTTCACCCATATTTAAATCTTGAGAGCAGGAGAGGATAAAAGACAAGGGGTGTCTTACTGACCACAGTATGACTTGAAGCTCAAAACCTCAGGCTCTGGAATCAGACTTTCTGCCTGATTTTGGGAAAGTTACTTTTTCTTCTTGTGTTTCAGTTTCCCCATCAGCAAAATGGGATGACTAAAGTCTTTCCCACTTGAAGCTGTGAGGCTTCAAGTCATCTGAGGGTCGATCACTTACCAGTTGACTTGGGACACAGTACACACTCTAAATTGTGGCTATTAGTATTGCTTCTGAGGGAAGCCACAGCTCTAAAGACCCAAAGGGTAACCCTGACCTTGGCATTTCAAGAGGGTCAGCAGCAGCTTTGCTTTCTAACCATTTCTGGTCTCTGAAGTCTCTTTTGTGCTTATAACTGAGCATCAGTTTCACTTGGAAGACCAGTCAACTTCAGCAATGGTTTTTGCTGCTTTGTGAATGCCAGTGCATGGAAATTAGAATTGATTTGGACTGACACCTAAATTATTTATTTTAAGACATCATAAACTCTCAAAAAACAAGCAAATAGAGTTGATAAAAGTCTGACTAGTTCAGACTCTACAGGCGCCCACAGAAAGGGGTGAGTGCATGCATCGTGGCAGGATCTCCTTAAAGATATACACATATGTCATAAAGAAGATACGCTCAGGAAAGGCCCCCTAGACTCACAGCAGAGGAGCTCAGAGCACTTACCTTTGAGAGGCGACTCATTCTCTCTTCATTGTCTTCCAGAGTACGCAAACTCGGAGGCACATACCAGAAACAGACATTTGTGTGCTGAGGCTACAAAGAGGAAAGGAAGAGTCACATTCAGCCCAGAGTAGCAATTTTTAAAATTCCAAGACATTTCAAATCTATGTGTGCAGCTGGTTCAAAATACAATTCCCACCTTTAAATCAGAAATTGCCTTTGGAGTGCCTGACTTTCCCAACGTTATATGGAGTAATGTATGAGCCTGATCTATTTTCCAGCTCAGAATAGCCACCTTGTCATCCACTGCTCCCCCCACCCCCATGATGACCCCACTAACCTGCACAGCACATCATTTACATCAAAACACAGCAGTGATAAGAATTGGAATCGACTAAACTTTTTAGGATTGTAGAAATCCAAATACATACCTTCCCGTCAAACACCATCTCATATCCTTCTCGGTTTTTAATGATGTTGTATAAATACTCTGCCAGCTCTAAACACTTATCAACATGCACTTCAAACCCAGTAGTCCCCTAGGGAAGAGAAGAACAAAGCTCATTAGGTAGGCTGGGAGTGCAGGACCAGGGATCCCTCTGGAGACTGAGGGTCATCCTGCCGGTTCCATCTCAGCCCCGTTCTGGCACGTTCTTGACACAGAACTGTTTCCACAGGCTTCTCAAGTGCCTGTCTTCTCTTCAACGCCTCCCTCCCTACCCCTCCCAACAAGGTGCTTTTGTTCCTTTTCATTAAGGCTCCCTCAGCAGACTCCTTTTCTGCCAGAGCCTCCATTTCCCAGGCAATTATTTTGATTACTCAAGGGGAAAATTTGACTCTGCTGTTCATAGGAGTAATCATGGAAGTCATTAATAACAGGAGGGCTGGGTTATTCTCTTCCTGTGGATGAGAAGCACCATCAGAGACCCTGGGGATGCCTGCTTGGCCCCTCCCAGTGTGCACATTTTCCATCGCCAGGCTCCTTCTTGTTCGTCAATGTACCTGGGATAGAACAAATTGGGCAGGTGCACAACGAATATTTAATTGAACAAATAGATGAAGGAATCATAGGGAGCATGCAGATGCTGTATTCTGCCAGGCTTTGTAGTGTTTTCCTTTGGTGACAGATAAATGACACACATCTGTAATGGGTGAACATCATTACAGAGGTCTTTTAGTTTCTAGCTCTGGAAGCCCTGGAGCTGGACTTATAGAAACTGACACAACAGCCTTGAACTGGGGCTATTTAACGGACGTCCGGACATATGAGGGGCTTACTTTTCAAAATGACTTTCCTCTTACCTTCTTCAGTGTTTACTGAGTGCTAATAGAAAGTTTAGAAAACCAGCCAAGGCTTGTCCTGGGAGCACTTGGAACAGGCCCGGCAGTAACTTCTGTAACAGGGAAGCTGGAGGGAGCGACTGTAGAGATGAGATAGGCCCACCTGCCTGTTCACACACGGTTTCATCTCAGCTAAGCGGCGGGGGGGGGGGGGGGCAGCATAGCTCAGGGACTTGTGACATCTGAAGCAGGTTTAAGAATAAGTTGAACTGAAGAAATCTAATGGGTTCAGAAATTTGTTTCTTTGGAGAGTGCTGCCCCAGCTGACTGACTCAAGGAGGTTGATGGGCTCCTAATGTCTGAATGCTTGGCCAGCACCTTTGCCCTGAGCTCCACGAGTCTATGTGTGCCATGGAAATTAGAATCGGTAGTGCTGGGCACATATTAGGTGCTCAATGTATATTTATTAAATGAATGGATGAATAAATGAAGCCCTGTGGCAGTGTTTTCACAAAGCACGTTCAGAGGAACCATCTGCATCAGAACCAAATTAATTGTATTAAAATGCAAATTCTTGGACCCCCTCTCAGACTATCAAACCAGAATTTCAGGAAGATGAACAGTGTTTATGTTAGCTTCTTCAGTGATCTTACTGTTGACCAGTGTTCAGTTACCACCTCTGCAGACCTGACATCTCCAGAACTGGTTATGATTCTTCTCTGCTTCCTGAAACCCTCTTATAAACACTCTTGGGCCCCAGGGATGCCGCTGCTGAAATAACCACTGAATGCCTTGCTGCTGTAGTTTAGGCCCTCTTGCTTTTCATCTGGACTGCAGATCCCAAACCATCCTTGTCAATTAGCCGCTCCACTAATCCTAATTCTTCTACCTATCCTGTTTCAGCCCCATCTCAAAGGTCATCTCTTGATAAATCATTTCTGATTCTCAAACTAAGAATGCACCCTCCATCCTTTAAATTCTGCAGGTTGTCTGTGTTTCTTTTATGACCACTTCTATTCTGTCTTAGATGATGGCTTTCTGGGCATCTGTCTTATCCTGTCTGAAGCAGGCTTAAGCAGGTTTATCCTGTCTGGTAAATGAAAGCCTCTTTATTCCATGCAGCACGAACAATAATCAATGCCCAATATCTGCTTGTTAAAATAAATTAGTATTTTAGAGAGAAAGTGAACATTCAGTCACTGAGCAAAAGATGCCAGGCATCCATTTCCCTTTAATAATTTTTTCCTGTTTTTTCCCTCTCAGCCATTTGCCAGTCCCTTTGTTAGTCACATGTTTAATTAGAGAGGCCAATCATTAAAAAGTGCAAGGAATCCTGCCAATTTGTACAATCACATACGAACACAGAGATTTACTGTGAAACCTCAGTTGTTACATATTAAGCCACCCCTGCAGCCTAAAAAAGGGGGAGTAATTTTAAGGTGTATTTATTTATTTTTGTCTGCCACTGAGCTTTATTCACTGAAGAAATCTATCAACACTGAAAATAATCAAGTCCCAGGATTCTTTAATAACTGCAGAAGAAATGCGAAGCTGACTCAATAAGAACAGAACTGAGGGCACGCACCCTGCCTTTACCAACATATATTAGTACCACCTAGAATGCCCCTTAGCATCCTAAATCAGGGGTCTTATTTTTTGCATAAATTTGTTTCTAATCAAGTTATCTTGGACTTAATATGATGGCCCTCATCAGTGCATTTGGCTCCATTCGTCATTAATGGATTAGTTTAAAAAATAATAATTTATACTTAGTTTTCTATTTTTCACGTGATTTATCTTACTAAGGAGAAAATGTGGAGAAAATAGAATTCTCCAGGCATATCTGATAACAGAGGTTTCCTGAATTAATGCTATGCTCTTCTCTCTCTTCCTCCTCCCAACTCTTTTCCCAATTGTTTCCTTATTCCTGTGGGGAAGCAAGAGAGATCGTACAACCAACCCTTTCATGGTTCTTCTTGTGGGGAGAGGATGATTTTGACTTCCTTGGCTGGCACTTTTGATGTGAGAGTACACTTATCTTCACCTCTCATCTAGATTATAGGACTGAGTTTATTACTTTAATAATTATTATCTTTCATTTTGTGAAAAAAGGCAGTCTTCGGTTGTAAACCAACTGGAAGTTTTCGCCATTTAGATGTCTGCCTACTTGAAGTTTCTCAGGAGGAAAAGGTTTTGCATGTGTGTCCTAAGTAATTCAGCTGCTGTGATGCTTCTCTTGCTTCTTTTTATCCCCTCTACCAGTGCTGTTATTTTAGTACTTTAAAAACAAGATCCTTTGCCTTTACTTCAAGCTTCATTGGTCCTGTCGTTAGATTCACACCTGGTGTCCTCCAAGTTACTTCTGTAAGAACCGATGGGTTGCCCCATGCTGGAGAGGAGGTTCCAGGAGGAAAGGGAGCAGCAGGAACTGATGACCCATGAGAGAAACATTTTATGTAAATAGCTCCTGACCATCATCATAATAAAAAAGCACCACAGGAAGATGGCAAAAAGAATGGTACTTGAATGAAGAGGGAACTTGAACAATACTTAGAGATCAAGCTTTTCTCAACTTACTACCTGATATAGTTATTATTTTCAAATTTCCACCAATTGATGAAATGAAAAACCTGTTCACTTTAAAACAACTTGGGAGTACACCAATAATTTATATTCTTGACTGACTTTTTTTTTTTTCCAAATACAAATGTCTTGGCAGAAAGAGTCTCATATTTAATGGTGGGGACCAGGTATGTGTCCTTGTTGGACTTTTAACTTTCAGAAGAGGAGAGAGCCCATCATACCACTCTTACTAGGCAACACAGTAGAGCCTCACTTCAAGCAGCTGCCTGATACTCAGTGGCATGTGAAGAACACTCAGCTGGGGGCAGTACTATTAAGGAGGCTTGCCTGAAGGATATGTAGTCCAGTCACTCTTGAAAACCATTTCAGCATTATTTCTGCACTAAGCAAGACCATCTTTCTATTTAAACTGCCTCTTTTTTCCAGAATGAATTTTAAGGAGAGTCCATAAAATACATGTGAATTGCATTGTTTCTCTCCCAAGCACCCTCTTTTCCCTGCTAGCCAGCCTCCTATCTGAACTGCTTAAAGCAATTTAGCTTACTTAAAAAAATATATATGAACAACAGCATATGGATTCATCACTGTGGACATGGTTCCTACCTCTTTACACAGATACGAGGACCAACTCATGCCCTGGTCTTATCCTGGCATGCCTCACTCCTGCTGATCAAGTTATTTGCTGTTTCTTATGGGACTGAGCCTGTTATCTCTTTGTGTAGGCTACTCACAGAGCTTAGTACCAAATGTGTGTCCTCTTTCCCAAACATACAGGACCTCAGGGAGAACCAGTTTCCCTTTGTGAAAGGTGTCAGGATAAAAATGAAGCTACTAATGTTACGAAAACCCTGACAAATAGAGCTGGGGAAGGCCATGAAGAGAGGGTTCTTAGGCTTGTATGACTGATAACAAAACTATCTCAAATGCCTGCAGAAATCACAACCTTGCACAAAGGCCACTTCAACCTTATACAAAGAATACTTCTGCAAGGTTATTTGCCCAGCAACTTCCTGTGCAACCTCAGTCTGGCATCACCCTTGTTATTGATCATTGTGGCTAAGGATAATTATTTCAAAACAATTATGTAATCTGCATCATTTTTGTCCTTAAAAAACCTTTGTCTTCCTTCACTCCTTGAATATGTACATGGTTTCTATGGCCCGTGTATTCTCATTGCAATGCTTTATTCCAAAGAAACATGTTTTCTTTTGGAGAGCCTGTTTGTTATTTAGGTTGACACCTTTAATCTCTCCCTTTCTCATTTTCGTTTGTCAGTTTCCCTCGAATACTCTTTTGCATTTGGGTTTCTATAGCATATACAGCTGCCTCTATCCATTGCCTCCTGTGGGAGATAAATGAAACCAGATGGGAAGCCACTAATTTGTGACCTTTAAGTTAGGAGTCTGGTTAAAATTAATAAAATTGTTGATCTTTCCAGCCTGCTTACATTTAAACATAAATGTATGCTCTTGGAAGGCTACAATTAGGCCAGCCAGTGCTGCTTACCATTAGTTACAGCATTTACCTTGCTCAGAGAGGAGGGATCACCTGCAGCTAAATTCTGAGTGAAACAGAGAACCCCTTCAAAAAGAGGTGGTTAGGGACTTCTAGAGGTTTTGTTTTTTTTAGCTTTGTAACTAGAAGTTATTCTTGAAAATGTCAAAAATAAGCTATTATGGTGGGGTTTTTTGCTTTTTTTTTTGTTCTCCAAACATATACTTTCAGATTGTATTAATCTGCCCAGGTGGATCAATCACTGGATAAAAACCGAGTCAGGGGATTAAAAAAAACCAACAATAGCAACAACAAACACCTATTGAAAATCAAAGTGTTCTGTCATGTAAAGCAAAACGGATTTGTCTTCTACATGAGTGAACATTAGAAGCAATTTGTCCTGAATAGAAAAAAACAATTGGGTTTATTATATTCTTGCCCATGTATAATGTAGGTATTTAGATGCAGGATTAAAAAAACTTAATCTTGAGTAAGTAATTTGCAATTAGGAAATCAATTTTTCAACATGCCATAATAGAGGTCACTATATAAAGTTTTTGTTTTTAGTTGATGTTTGACTGGGCTATATGCACTCACCTTTGCCCTCCACATGAGCCATAATTTAAAAACATCAACGTGGCGACCACACTGTAAGGCCTTGTCTCCAGTGTCATAGGACAGGTCATAATGTTTATCTTGCTGAAAGAGGTAGGAGGCATGCATTTGGTTGCAATTCTGCATCAATCCCTAAAAGAGAAAAGAGACAATTTAGAAAATTCTATTGGCCATCCATTAGATTTACATTGTGGTGTGAATTATTAAGAAAAAAATAAAAGAAAGGGACATTGTATATTTTGAAAAAAGTAAACAATAAGAATCAAGTGGAAAGAAAAAAAGAAAGGAAGGGGCCATTTTAGGACAAGAGTGTCCAGGCTATTGTAATAGGTCACCTCTGGGATAAATGGCTTAGGGTCATATGTTACCAGAGGTCAACGAGGACACACTTATATGTACTCTTACTCTCCATTTAAGAGAAGACATTTATGTAAATCAGTCACAGCGTGTGATGATCATTCATTGGGAGAACATTCTTAAATTCTGGTTTTGGTATAACTAAAATATTTTAGGACTTCTTTGGTTCTGTGAAAAATTATTATCCCAGTTTTTCTAGTGTTTTTATGAATATGTAGTTCCAGTAATTTATCATTTAGCTGTTAGAGTTCAAAATCTCTTTAGAAATCATAGCTTTTAAGGCAGTTCACTACTATCATTTTTAAATGCTGAAATCTTAAGGAAAAAAGACATTGGAACTCTGAGATAAATTTAAATAGCGAATCTTTCAAATGTCATGTTCCTCTCTTAAGAGTGGTCAGAGCTTCAGTCCTGTATTTGCATATTCAGTTGCTTATGGAAGTTAAAGTGGAAAGTTTTATCATTAGTGACCATGAATTTGCTCCAGTACTGTAACCTTACCATGGAAATAGGTGGCAAAATAATTGAACTATTCCAAGAACAGTGAGTGAATCATGCTTTCTGACTAAAATAGTATCACCAATCTCCCTAAGAGAAAACCCACCATGCTTCAATTTGTCACGAACCACTGGAAGCCTTTGACTCTTTTGTTCTCTACTGTATAATTGTGATTTTACAAAAGCTTTGACATTTGATTTTTGTTTCTCTTGTGACTCATGACAAGAGAAGTAAAGACTAAAATGTGACCACTTAGTTGAAGTTAAAAGTGAGAACACTTTTCAAAAATTATCCAAACTAAAACACAATGCAATGCAACTATAATTGTAATTTCACTTCGAAAGACAGAGTGCTCAGATGGTAGACAACAGAACTGGACTCTGCCTTGTAGTTCAGGCTTCATATGCATTGGAATCTATTAAGTTATTTTTGAGAATAAGAAAAATTAAGTATAGTGTGCTTGTTTTAGACCAGAAGAAAGACATTAAATTTGAAAGAGAACATTCACATGAATACCAATAAGAGGTGAAAATTGCAACAGGTACTTTTATTTGGTTTCAGGATTACATAAACTTTGCACCATTCTTCCCTAAGCCATGCAAACTCACAACCAGGTGATGTTAATATTAAGGGAAACCACCTCAGCATGTGGTGGAATGTGGAAGTTGATTAGACCAGCTTCTACTGGAATAGGAAAAACAAAGCAAAGAACACGAACTCTAAAGAGCTGGATAGCACTAGTCTCACCGCATGAAAGGATAAGCAAAAGTGATGTTGTTTTTTATACAGAAGGGTTTGGTGAGATAAATATCCTGGTTCTAAGCCATAAAAAAGTTTTAGAACATCATGTCCCAAACTGTTTAAAATATGTTAATAGTTGCTGTTCAAAAACAAAAAAATAGATTCTACTGTCAAACAAATCTAGGAAACTAATCACAAATCCTTTCTTTTTAAATATTGCAATACATATCATCAGTTTAAAGGCTCCACTAAGTCCTGAAATAATGAAACTTGTTTTTAATTCTAATCCAATATTTCTCAACCTTTTTAAAACTGAGAACTCTCTTATTGGAGAACACTATTACTGTCTTTTGGAACAGCATTATTCCTTGCACAACAATGAAAGAAATGCTGTCAGAGCATCATAAACTCTTGGCTGTGGAAGGGAATTTAGAACTTTCTCCATTTCTACTCAAAAAAGGAATCCTTTCTATATCCTTACTAATAAGTGGTTGTCCAATATCTTTTCAATTCCGTTATCTTTCTTGATTCATTTATTCCTACTGTTGGGCAGCTTAGTTTTTAGAAACATGTTCCTTTTATTGAACCCAAGTCAGACCTAAAAATCATAGTGTGTTCTGATTTTGTCATCAAATCTGTACCACCCACTGTTACTAACCTAGTCCCCTAAAAATCTCAAGAAAAAACCGAGCCTCTTCCACTTGAGAGTCCTTTAAACTCTGGCCTCTTCTTAGCCCTTTATTTTTCTTTTTTTCCCTGGGTTTAACATCCTTAATTCTTTTAACCATTGCTCTTACATGTTTGCCAACTGGTCCCTACTGTTTGAGCTTCAGCTTGTGAGACACATTGTACGATTTGGCACTGAGTTAAGAATGCAGTGCAGGTGTGGCTTAATCAGGAGAGTGCAACACTATCACCTTTTCATGCTGAAACTCCACTTCCTGTATCTTGCTAATGTTTGTTTGTTTGTTTGTTTGTTTTTGAGTTGGAGTCTCACCCTGTCGCCCAGACTGGAGTGCAGTGGCCGCTCCCTGCCACTGCAGCCTCAACCTGCTGGGCTCCGGTGATCCTTCCACCTCAGCCTTCCAAGTAGCCTGAATTATAGGCATGTGCTACCACGCCTGGCTGATTTTTTGATTTATTGTAGAGATGAGGTCTTGCTGCCCAGGTGGGTCTTGAACCAGTGGGCTCAGGCAATCCACTCACCTCAGCCTCCCAAAGGCGCAGGATTACAGGCTGAGCCACCGAGCCCGGCTGCTAATGTTTTTTGAATAGCCTTTTCCTCTTGATTCACTGTTGAAACTGCAGAGTACAACCTAATGTCCTCCGCCTTTTCACAAGTCCAACAATTTAGCCATGTGTGAAACACGACTGCTGTGTCCAGTCAAAAGATAATCACCCTATACTCGGACCTCAGAGCAGGGCCTTATGAAGATCCCCATTAACAATTTTTCTTTTTGGATGTGGCTCACTGGTCCAGTCTGCAAAAATCATCATGTATTCTGATTCTGTTGCTATACACATTTACTCTACCTCCCAGTTTCCTCTCATCTGAGATGTTAATAAGTTTCTATGTTTTACTCAAACCACTGAATATTTTGAATGGTACAAATGGTACAGGGTTAGGTGCCAAGCCACAGGCTCTATCCTGGGTAACATCAAATTACCAATCAGCAGGCCCTTCCACTGCAGTCATCTAATCAGTTCCAAATCTTTCTAACTAGTTCCATCTGGCCCTCAATTTGCCTTTGGTTTGGAAGGACGTGACAGGGATCACTGTCAAACATCTGGCTGAAATCTAAGTAACAAAAATTAATTTTCTTCTTTCAAGTAATATAGCTGAAGTTTGCATGAGATAGAATAAATGATAATATATTGAATTTGATTTTTAACTGATGAAAAACCAGTCTGAAGGATATTTTTCAGCATAATCATCTCATTTTGAAGGGAAGTCTCTATCTTTGAAGGGAAGTCTCTGTCTTAATTACTTCTATGAAGACACAGAGGGCATGCTATTTAAATCTGCAGATAACAATAGGAGGTATTAAGAACCATGGAAATAATAATACCTTTGATTTAGCAATCCCGCTTTGAGGAATCTACTTTTGAAAAATAATCAGGAATGTGATCAAAGATATATAATTAGATTTTAACAAGCCACTTTGTAAAATATCAGTTAGTATTTCAACCATAGGGATATAACTCATTAAATTATGTGATAGAATAATGTGAGGTCATTAAAAATCACATTTTGGAAGGCCATGCTCACAATATAATGTTAATTATAAAAAAGAATTAACAAGTGCATATGACATAGATAATAGCTATTTTATTTTAAATATATATTTATTTTTATATTTTAAATTTATATATTCCTAGAAAAACTGAGAGGAAATATTTTTTAAAAACAGTACTAATATTTATCTCTAAGTAAGAGAGCTTTGAATGACTCTAAATTTACTTACATTTTATGTTCTGCCCAAGTTTTCTAAAATAATTATGTGTTAATAATTATGCATGATCGGGAAAAAGTAAAATATTTTACAAGTAAATAAAGTACTTAAAAATCCCTTTAATCTAAGTGTTTTATTAATACTAAGGAGATAAAATTTAATAGGAATAAATTGAAGCTCCTTACTTGGGTCTCAACAAAATGAAGGAGTGAGGAGCTTTGATGGGAGGTAGATGCAGAGGTACTGACCAATGGTAAACGTCTACAGAAAATGACCCTAGACCTCATTAATAGAAGGATCTTGTATGAAAGTGCTCATTGCTTATTCTTCTCTTTGCTGGTTAATACATTTTGCAGAATCCTTGTATCTGAATCCCAACACTTAATTCCCTTATCCCAAAACTTAATCTCCTTATGCCCCTCTATGTTCCTGGATAAGGGGATGCAAGGTACAGTTGAGAAAAGGAGTATTTTATTGAAAACATGGAGAATATTTTATATGTTGAAAGTTTAAGTTTATATTCTGAAAGTCAAGGCTTATATTCTGTAAGTTGAGATCTCCTAAGCCTATTTTTCCCCTATTCAGCAGACTTTACCCTTCAGCTAGGAGTTTAGAAGAGCACTTCCTGGGGAACAGGAAAGACCTGACGATCTTGGCATGAGGAGGGAAAATCAACTGCACAAAGACAGTCAAACCCCACCCATGGACTGGGACACAGAGTCAGGAAAGACATACCTCTTCTCTGACCAGGAGAGCAGAGCACTGCAAAGGGACACCCATCATCTTGTGTGGATTCCACGTCACAGAGTTGGCCCTAAAATAAACAAATCATGTAAGAGGGTAGCACCCCATGACAAGCTCAGAGTATGAACATCAGAGCTTCAGTTTCTTGGCACTGTTCCTCAGATTCCAGGATGACACTATATACGTGGTGCCCCCAGAGTTTCAGGGACAACATGCATTCTGCCTCTATAGTGATCTCAGAGTCCTTTAGAGTGATAGGGTTCATCTGGTCCAGGTGCCTCCTTTGATCCATGATGACCAGAGCAACTGGCAATGAGAGAGCTGCCTTGTGTCCCTCTCCTGCCATGGCCTGGACTTGGGATGGGGAGAAGTTTATTCCATGGCTGAATTTTATTCTTTTCTCAGTCAATTTCTCCTTCCCAGTCCATTGATGACCACATTTCTCAACAGTATCTTTTCATGGTAACCTCTAGTTAGTGCCCTGCTTCTGTGTTTTCCCCAATCCAGAGTTGTCTCTCCAGACCACAAGTAAGACGTACTGCAGCTCCCACAGCAGAGGGGGTTTTTGCCCTTGTTTGCCTCACACACCCGATAAGTGTGATATGCTGTCATCAGTAACAGTGGCTCACACCACAGCAACCCCAGCTCAGGGATTCTGTTATTTGATAATTCTGAACTACAGTCCTGGTTCAGGTTACCTTAAAAATAATTATTATAATTTTAATCTGGATACAGTAATTGTGTTTCAACTGTCCCTTGGTCTCCGTTTCAGCCTTCACCTAGTACCAGAATTATCTTCTAGTTCTGTTTCTGGCCTTTCCTCCAGTCCAAATTCCAGACTGTGGGGAACGGCTCATGACATCTGAGGCAGGCCCCAACTGCACATTCAGTCTTGTGTCCCTTCACTTTCCTTTATCCATTGCCTTCATTCCAGATTTTTCGTTCTCAGAAAAGTCTGTTCTTATGCTCCTGGGCCTTGTAATGCTATTTCCCCTTCTTGGAATGTCGTCTCCCTTCACTTTACTTGACTAAATATTGCTCATTTTTTAAGGCCCCAGGTTCTTTCAGGACTATGTCTGTGGCCTTGTTCACCTTCTTTTATCTCCTTTCCTCACTCCCATTGTGCTCCTCCTTCATTCCAGGAAAAGCAACTGCCCCCACTGGTAATCCCATTGTTCAAACTTCAAAGTTTCTTAGGCCTTGTGGGCCTCTGAGCTTGCCTTTGGTGAGACTGAGGGGTCTCAATTTAACTGTTGAATTAAATTCTGAACCCCTGCTTCTCAGAGTGGGAGGGAGGACAACTGGGGATGTAGCAGAAGCTGCACTGGCACCTTCGACTGGGCCTTAAAACCTTGAGTGGAGTATCCCAAAGAATGAGGATCATGAATGTGACTGGTCTAGACAAGCCCATGGGAGAAAGGACAGTGGTAGGACAATCCATGAGAGCTCTCTCCAGAGAGCTGTGGATTGCTGCCCCAGCTCTGACTGAGTTATGTGCGGGCTCAACCTGTTCCCCTCTCCAGTGTGAGAGCCTTGGGAAGAAATGAGAAGCTGGGAAAGATCTCATTCATCACTTGATGAATGGCAGGTGTCAGCCAGCCAGTCAGAGAGCATGTACTGGCCTGGGGTTCTTATCTGAGCCAATGAGTAGTCAGCTTATCTTTGGGTTTTCACTGGTTCTGACACTGACTGTCAGATATGTGTAAGACTGGAACTGGGAAAACAGAACAAAGGCAGTTCATGGTCAGATTACTACCCCCAGAGAGAGGACTAAATGACTGAATGAACAATCACAGAATTGTGGTATTGAAAGGGTCATTCCAAGATAATATCTCCTTACTCTGTTTTCTGTAAAGTAACCTGGAGTAGGGACACCTGAGCCCTGCAGAAGAAGGTAATAGTGGTTAAGAGAGGAACTCAGGGGCCAGATAGTATGACTTTGCATTTAGGTTCCATCACCTTCTACCTGTGTGAACTAGAGCAAGTTACTTAACCTATCTATGCCTAGATCGCCTCATCTGCAAATACTTTGGGTAAAGTGCTTATATTTGCCTAACACCCTGTAAGCATGAAATAAGGTTTGCTCTTGCTATTGATTTCATTGCTGTCATTTGTAAGCTTTGTGACTTTGGGCACACAAACACCACCATTCTATATACTCTTAATAGTCTGCGACTCGATGTCTAATTCTAATGAACTCAGCTTTGTCCATAAGGGTACCTAGTGGAAGGGGAAAGCAGCTGTCCTCTGTTTCTGTGATTGTGGATGTTCATTTCTATGCAGTGGCCTATTTGTCTTTTTAGAAGAGAACCTGCCAAGACCCACAACTACCTGTCATGGAATTCTCTGTCCTGCCTCTCTCAGAGGCATAAAGACGGCAAAAATCCACACAGATTGATTTGATGACATGGCCTTGGTTTATCTGAGAAATGTTGGCAATTTATGAAAAATAGCCTCAGGTTCATTGCAAAATGTTTTGCTGCGGGATTCAGTCATGTGGCTGTGTGGTTTTCAGTGGGTTGGAGAGAAGAGAATCCCTGGGGCTGTTTTGAGACATATCTTTGTGCCCTTATTTGCACCTTAAATCTGTGGGCCCCGAAAGAACTCATTAACTCTCCACTGTTCATCCTTCCCAATCTGTTCTTTCTCCTTTATGTCTGTGTTCCTGGCACCATTTTCCTCCCAGGTATCCAGCCCCCAGACCTCAGTGTTGTGGGAAGTTTCCTTCCTTTTTTCCCCCCTCTCCTGACCCCATCCCTTGCAGTTCCACCTCCCCCTCTCTTGGGGTCATGCACTCATTTCCCTCCCTGCTGCTACTGCGCCACCCATACCCTCAGCTTCTCTCCCCCAGACATTCCTAAATGTTTAACAGCTTCTGGTCAGTCCCCAGCTCCCATATCCATCCTCTCTAATCCAGAATTATCATTCCCAAACACAGACGAGATCATCTTACTCATCTGCTCAAAACCTTGCTGTGGCCACTACAGCAGAGGCTGTCCATCTGTTTGTCCCCACCTGAGGAATAAAATGCTCTCCACTCATAACAGTGGCAAACACAGCTGTGACTCCCCGCTTGGGGGTCTATGCTCTGTGGAAAACAGCCCTGGGGCATTCTGACCTGGCTCTGTGGGAGACCCTGGGCAGAGAGTCACTGGACAGAACTTCTGCACTTTTTTCCAGCATCCTGGTCACTGCTATGAACCCATCTCATTTGCCAACCAAACTCCTTCGAACTTTCTCCAAGACCCTGTACTTTCAAACTTCTGTGTCCCTAATCTTCAGTGCTCTTCAGCCTGAATCCTCTTTTTCCATTTCTGACTGACGAAGCACCCCTCATCGCATGATGCTCAGCACCAACGCTCCCCCACTCGGTGTCATGGAGACCCTCCCTGTAATAACACTGATTAGAACAAATAATTTTTTTCTCTGTGCTCTCAGATCAGCTCACTTGTCCATCTCTTGAGCCTTTACTTCCTCCACCTTGAATTTTAATCCACTGTCAATTGCCAGTCTTCCTTACTAGACCCTAAACTCCTTGAAGATAGGCTTCATGTCATATTCATCTTTGTGCCCAAGCAGTGCCTAGTGCTGTGGCTTGCATATGACAGAGGTTCAGCAACTGTTGAATTAAATTCTGAACCCCTGCTTCTCAGAGTGGGAGGGAGGACAACTGGGGATGTAGCAGAAGCTGCACTGGCACCTTCGACTGGGCCTTAAAGCCTTGAGTGGAGTATCCCAAAGAATTATCACAGGTAAGCACCAGAGTCATTTACAATGCACAGAGGTGTGCTTCGGAGTATCAGGGCTCTTGGAGTGCCCTTTCACCACCTCTAGACATTTTGATTGTGCTAGCAAGGAAGAGAACCGTCTTCTGAGAACTTGGTTGGTTCCTCAAAGGGATGCTAGGAGAGCTACAGGTGCTTGTGCCAGTTTGCTGTGACGATGGTGTTCAGGATCCCCTGTGACCACTGAGGAACTGCTGAGTTTGGGGATAAGAATCAACTATAAATTCCCCCTATGTTTAGAGTGAGTTCTAAACTTTGGTTTGTGAAGTTTGGAAAAAAGTCATTCCTCAAGTGAGTCAACTTTCTTTCCTAAACTTGTGCCCTCTCACATTATGCACCAGTAGTTTCCACTGATCCTACAACGTTATTCACCAAAGGAAGTATGTCTTTTGCTAATAAGTCAGTCTGATGGCTGCTCTCAGGTAAATGTATGGCCAAGGAGGTTCTGCTCAAAGCGGAACACTGGCAGGTCCTCATTTTTAGGACTTCATATTTGGCCATTCCATTTGAAAGATTTAGTTGCAATACAGTTTTAAGAATTGTGGCAATAAGAGAGGACTTTATGTTCCCTGATGAATGTTCTAAGCTTTGCTCTCAAATAATAGTCTTTAGAACAAAAATGTGTGGGTGTTTATTTTTCTAAGGCTCAGGGTGAGCTTTCAAGTGGAGGATGCTCCAGGTTTCTCAGCACTTGCAATCGCAGGTGGCATCAAAGGTAGAATAACAGCCACTTACTTTTTGTGCCAGTCAGAAAGAAACTCAAAGAAGAGAAAGTACTGTAAATAGGCCACCTCTCTAGACTTTAATTTTTGTTGTGTTTATGTGAGCAGGCACCTTCCAAGTTGTTCTCGTTCTCCGCCACCCCCCCTCCCCGCCACTTTTGTCTCTCTCTCCCTGTTTAGTTCATTGCCTCTTCCTTAAGCTTCTGGTTTCATACACATCTTCAAGATGGGAAGGGATTAGGCCTGGCAGAAGCCCCAGGGGACCAGGAGCAGAGGCCTGGAACGGTCTGACTCCTGGAGGGAGATATGGCTGCCTTCACCTGCCCACATCTAAATGGGTCTTGGTAATCAGAGGTTGGGCAGCTCCAAGTGCCTTCACCCAGCTGTGCTCAGGCCAGACCTGACCCCGACCGGGAGACTTTAGGACATGACCCTCTGACATGGTCTTGGCTGGTCTTCCCTGACTTGGCCTCAGCCTTCTTGCTACTGTTTCAGCACTGTATCCTTGATTCCACCCCAGTAACCCCACCCCCTCTTTCCACATGCATGGATTCTCTGTGTGAGTGGCTGGTGTCATATAGCACACCCAGCATGTCTGTTCTGGCCTGGGCATCCTGTATACTCAGTCCTGACAAATGCTCCTGAATTCTATCATCGTCTCTCCTTGTCCTGGAAGAGAAATTGTGCCAAGATGTCTAGGAGCAGAGCCAGCATGAAGCTTTTCCTGGGCAGCCTTTGGCTGCTTGGCAGGACATGGCGGGCATTTGGCAACCATTGGTGAATTCAGGCTCTCTTTGTGGCCTGGAGTGTCAGAGCTCACCGCTGTGGCTGACCTGCCTCGCTGTGATGGGAGAACTGGGCTTCCTTTGCATGTAGTTCAGAACCAATGCCTGAAGCTATATTTTGCATTCTGTTTTTTTCTCCCACTTTGGACCCGAACACACTTTATGCCAATCAGATATTAACTCCTTTGTGTTTTGCAGCTTTTCACAATGGTCTGTTATGTAGGCTCTAAATAAAAGGTACTGTGCAGCATCAATCAGAGAAAAGGTCAGGAAAGGTTATTATGGGAATTAAACCATGAAATGATAATCACTGGTATGCCTCTCTTTAAGCTTACCAGCCATATTAGACCCAAACTTGAACTTTCAACACGGATAAGTTACAAGGTGATTTTCTGTTTTGCAAAAGTATTTATTGATTTTTTAAGTAGTAGATGTTATCCTTTTATGGAACATGATAGCTATGGGTCTTTTCCTACAAAAATGTGGACTGCCTGCAGGTTTTAAACAATTTTGGTGGCTGGATCCCAGAATCTCTATGTCTAAGAGACATTCCACCTGAGTCACTTGATGGGGTATTTGATTTTTTTGTTGTTATTTTCACATAATAGTCACAAGTATTATACCACATATGGCAAGGAACACAGGTCGGAATAGAGCGGGCTCAACAGCATTCCGAGAGTTCCTGGAAATTGAGTGTAATTTGCTTTTCACATTTAGCTTTTAACAACATAAAATGTTGTTAACAAGAAAAATACAACATACCTCTCCACGCCACTTAGTTTCCACTTGTGTTTTCGGGACATTAATAATCCACCACCCCAAGCTGCCTGAAAAAGAAGATCATAAGAGGAAAAAGGTAGCAGACTGTCATCGCCTAGATTTCTATAGCTTGATGTCTTCCAGATTGATAAGAGTCTCATAAGGTGAAAATGATCTCCTTGTCCCCAGCATAGCAGGTTGGTGGCTTCTTCTGGCCCTAGACCTTCAAAGTTTTAATGGAAAGCCTTTCTAAAATCTCAGATTCTATCCTATATTTATATAGGTGTAAGGAGCCAAACACATTTTCCCAGTATGCTCCAGATGGAGAAAGATCCCCCTAACTCACTACCACTACTGTGAGTCCTGATAAAGCCCAAGTTCTCAGCATAGAAACCCCATGATCTCCATAGTTCTAAGTAGAGGAGATGGGCTGCAGACCATGAAACAACTTCCAAGCTTCAGGGAAAACCCTTTTGACAAGTCTGGATGATTTCAGAGGGAGCTTTGCTACCCTTCCCCTCGCCTTTTAAAACTGATATTTAATTTTGGATAATTTCTATGTCCAAAAAAATCACCAAAAATTTACAAGCAGGAAAGATTTGTATCAGTCAGTTAGCTGAGCAATTAGAACACATCCCTTAACAATTTGTATTCAAGTCTGAAGATCTGAATTGGCATAGTAATCTTCTTTAATGTCAAGATGAGATTCATTTGAAAATGTTAACATTCCTTAACCTGTGTGTAAAAACAACCTGGGATAGTTTTAAAGGAAAAAAAAAACACCTGCTATGATACAGTCACTTTTCCCCTTTTTGTTGTAATTTCAGTTCTTTTATACTTTGTAAAATTATCCTACTTCCAAATGTGTAATATTTAAATTTTTTTCTTGTTTAATGTTAAAGCTAATAAGAATGAATCAATGAACCTTAAAACTAATAAGAATAAGTGTTAAGTTTGATATGTTTCAAAGAAAAATGAATACAACTGGTTAAAAGATTCCCTAGTTCTAATTTAAGTAGAAAGCCTGGAGGAAAGGCCATAGCATCCGCTGGTTCAGGACACACAGACATTATTATGTTTAAAGTTTTCAGGTAGTTCTCTTCTTGAATCAGCCAACAAGACCTAGCAGGCTTTCCAGTTCTGAGATCCAAGTCACTGATGGTACCTGAGTTGTTTAATCTTTCCTCAGGGTTTTTGTGTATAACAAGAAGGGGTCTCTGGTAGCCTAATAAACAATTCACACTGGGAATCAGGGAAGGAAAACAAGATTGGTAATCACTCTGCAGGATAAATTTGGAATTATGGAAGTGAACCCAGCTTAGTCTGTAGAAGTTTTCTGCTTCTAAAGGAAGAGGAATTAATTTGTTCTGAGTACTTATTATAAAGCCAAAATGATCTAAGGCCATGCTACTCGAAGTGTAGCCCCATAGCAACATAAAAATCTTGCACCATAATGTATATCAACTTATAAATTCTTCCACTGAGAAAGAAAAAATATATCAGCTGAGCTAAACATTGTGCTTAGTTTATGATTAGTGAGGATTTGGCACAAACTTCTTATCTTATCACAGGTCATTAACAAACAGTTTGCCTATGGCAACTGATCTTTGAACTACACTTTGAGTAATACTGATCTAGACTTAAATTCTTTCCATTCATCCTTCAAGAAATTGACACGTTTTCATTTGAAAATGTTCTGGTGGGCACATCTCCATTATTGTTTAGTGGGAGAAGGCCTGGAGTTAAAACATCTCAAATATAATTTATCTTTTTAGCTGACCAAGCTAAGGAAATTGGTCTGCATTCCCAGTAAGTTGTCAAGTCTGTTTTTCTTTCTATATACAAGGAAGGACCTCCCCAAACCAGAATTTACTTATAACAATTGTGTATTTATTCTTTAAGTTCCAGTCACCTTTAAAGTACTCTCCATTTGATGCAATATGCTTATCGAGATGCTTTTTCCACTGCTCAAAACGGTTTTTGAACTCGTCAATTTTGATGCCTTTTTGTGCTTCTGCTGTTTTTTGTTTCACCTCTTCAACATCAGCAAATCGTTTCTCTTTGAGGACTTGTTTCATCCAGGGAAACCAAAAAAACTGCCAGCGTGAAATCAGGTGATAGGGAGGGTGGGGCATGGGGGTCATGCCATTTTTGGTCAAAACCTGCTGAACACTCACCGCAGGGTGGGCAGGTGTGTTGTGTGGTGGAAGAACCAGTTACCTGTTTGCCACAACTCGGAACGTTTCTTCCACAAATCAACTCTCACAACAATGCTAGCTGGTACACTGATGCTGATGGGTTCCTAGAAACTTACCTAGTGAAGGAGGCCTGTACTACAAGGGGCTCACCTTCCAAAAGACATTTATATTTTGGGGGGTTCACCCTTGTATATGAATACCTAACTGGAGCTTGAGTTTTTATCCTCAGGGTTTCCTATATACATGCAACTCCTTTGTACCCTCTTGATCATTCTTTTAAGGGAGGAAGATCTGCATATGTGTGACTGTGTATGCACGCTGAATTCTTCCATGGATACAATGGTTTAATGAATTGAGAACTGAGTACTCAGCTTGGGTACCAATCATAGAAATAAAAATATTACCAAATCAGGATCATTAAGGCATAATCAGCCTCGGGCTGTTTCTAGTGCATGTTATGTACCGTGTGAGTTGTATGCTAATTTTTCTCTGCTATCTTTAAAAGCTTAAATATCACTATTTTGAAAATAATCTGAACAAGTAAAAAAAAAAAAAAAGAGAGAGAAAACAAATTTCCTTCCATGAGCCCCAGATGAAAAATGTGCAAGGACATTCTAGCAGCCAGTCCCTAAGAGATACTTACATCCACATGCATCCAGATCTTATATTTTTTGCAGATGTCAGCGACGGCTAAGAGGGGGTCAAAGGCTCCATACACAGTGGTTCCAGCCGTGGCACTCACGAGGAAAGGAACAAATCCCTATGCAAATAAGAAGACCCAAAAAATGTAAAACAGGGGTTTAAAGATTTTTTTTTTGGGGGGGGTGCCGAAACCCAGAGGTGACAAAGATTCTTTTTAAAAGCTGACGAAAAATAATGAAGCTCTCCCCCAGCACACACATCTGCATTCTGGGGACCATGAAGAGGGTTATTTACACCCTGGGGCCTGATATGAATCATTGTTCACTCTCTGGAATCTCAGTTCTCCAGAGCATGCTGTGGACCTTGACTGTGTCCTATGAGAACAGACATTCAGCTTCTCCGAGGAGGCTACACTGAACCCAGAGGTTGTCAGTGATGTCCACAAATCATTTTTATATTCCAGATAGACTTTCTGGCCCCTGTTACTCCCTCTGCTCACTATCTAGTTTCCTTTCTTCCTAACAGGGCCTCTGAGCTTACCAAATCCCCAGGTAGAAGAATGAAGAGAAGAAACTCTGACCAGTCCATTATTTCTAATTGAAAAATGCCCAAATAATATATCTGGCACCTCAGAGGGGAGGGCTCACATGGGATAAAGCAATCTGAGTAGTCCTCAGTCTCTCTAGCCATGGCTAAATGGAAACAGAGTGACATAACAGGCTGTTGCTGGAAGAAGGCAGAATGCCACAAACAAAATTAACCAAGTCACTAATTCTGTAAGGACTCCGTCCCATTGGTTTGCAGAACATGATGTTACAGAGTCAGTCTTTAGGTGGCAGCAAAGATTTAATCTTGTAGTTGATGTTACTAGATGCAGTTCTAGTACCTGTACAAGAACCAGGCAAACTTACAACTGCTGCTTTAAGGGGTGGCGGTGGGGGACGGGTGGTGGTGTCATATGAAAAGAGATAATTATTCCTGAGTTTACAATAATAAAATGCATGTGCATGTTGTTAAACCAGGAACCGTAGATTATATCTATTAAAAGATAAACAGCTCTAAGAACAAACTTTCTAATTTACGAACCGTCTGGGAAAGTAACTGACTCTCTAGGGCTTTGTGGGAACCTTTGGCAGGTCTTCAGTACTTGTTACTTTTAAAAAGGGTTTTAAATTGCTTCCTGCAAAATATGATCATATCAGCTTGCACCTAGATAGGAAAGAATCAGCCCCTTTCAAATAACTATGCAATAGTAACTCACATATGCTGCATCAGCTTTCTGATATTCCCATTTGTGCAAAAAGATCTTTCTAATGTGTGTGTGTTTAATGGTAACCCTCAACACCTAGGAAGACAAATGTTTTGGAAACCCATACAATGTCTCTGTATATAATATTAATTCAGTAATTTTAACTTTTCCAAGGCAGCTCTGAGCAGTTTCTAACTCAGAGAAATAAATAATGATGAATGCAGAATTCTATATTCTCATTAAACATGGGAGATTGAAGTTTAGATTCTCTTTTTAAAATAAAAGTGAATGGAAATAAAAACATATGCTGGATAAAGCTACCTAAGGAAACTTACTTTCTGTTTGACTTCAAGGATCCTTCTTTCAAGATCAGATGGCATCATTTTCCCTCTGGGGAAAAAACACACACACACACACACACACACACACACACACACACATATATATATATATTACATATGTTATAGATTTGCTTTGAGTAATTTACCTTGTTGTCTATATAATATAAGCAGCCACATAAGGGTAAAGTATAACCCTAAACCATTGATAATAATGCTCAGTTAAAACAACTCTGTTTCCAAGAAGAAATGCATTTACCTGCCTGAATGATGAATGACTGTAGTTTCTGGCACATTTTGGAGACTCCTGAGTACACTGTGTTGTTCTCTATAGAACAGCCTTAATGTCTTTCTACTCTATACAGAACCCTATTTTTAAGGGTTCATTTTCTTAATTCAGTTAAAACAAACCTGATTTGGACCAAGACATTTGGCAATGAAAGAAGAACTTACATTTTTTTTATTCCAGATATTTTAATGAATTGACCTGCAATCTTATATTAGATGAAATATCAAGAAGAGAAAATCCATGCTGAAACATTTGAATGAAAATATGAAGACAAAAAGCTGCATTTCAAGTGCTAAAAATATAAAGCAGGCCAGGATCTCATGGGCTCAAGTTTCCAACAGTTAGATAGAAAGTTATTAGAGAAATAAGCACCCTTTCATTACAAAAATTTGTTTCCTAAAATAAAAACACAGATAGTACTTTGCTTACTATTATGATAATTGGAGGAGTTGATTTCTACAAGAAGCTAGATGTGTAATCTTAATCAAATCACTTAATTTCCTGTGCCAAATATCCCTGGAAAATAGTCTCCCTTATGGCGTTATGAGGATTAAATGTTATTAATTAAAATGAATTTTATTATTATTATTATTATTTTGAGTCAGAGTCTTACTCTGTTGCCTAGGGAGTGCAGTGGCATGCCCACAACCACCACAGCCTCAACTTGCTGGGTTCAGGAGATCCTGCCACCTCAAACTTTCAAGTAGCTAGAAACACAGGCATGTACACCATGCCCAGCCAATTAATTGTTTATTTATTTATTGTAGAGATGAAGTCTTACAAAGTTGCCCAGGTAGGTCTTGAACTCCCGGGCTCTGGTAATTCTCTCACCTCTGCCTCCCAAAATGCTGGGATTACAGGCATGAACTGCTGTGCCTGGCTCAAAATGAATTTTAAAAGGGCTTGGTACATGGTAAGCATTCAATAAGTGTTAGCTTTAATTGTTGAGATTGTTTTCTATGCAGTGTGACACTCCTATTTCTAGAGTTTGGAGGGGAAAAAACAGACAAAAAACAGAGTAGTTGCATGGTACTAGAGGCAGTGAAATATTCTTTAAACCAAAATAGACTTCTCGAGGTTGCTAAAAGGGCCAAACTTCACAGAAGAGTCATTGATCTAGGTTTCTAAGAGATTACTCGGAAAAATAACTTATGTTAGAGGTGATTATCACAATAAGTGGTTGGAGAATGCTATCGACATTTAGTGAGTAGCGAATGGGGTTCTGGTCCTTGTCGCTAATTCAACAGCACATCTGTAGCTTTTCCTGTGAGTTCAGATGCACAACAAGCATTGAATTACTTCATTGTAGTTTCTAGTGTTGTTTTACCTAAGATTTTCCACATTTAAATATGTTATTTTATTACAAATCACTTCTTAAACATTTCTTCATTAAAAAAATAATTTGGGCATTATAGAGTGAGTAGGGAAGTGATATTTTCTATCATTTTTATTTCAGTTTAATAAAGGTGGTGTGACAACATAATTGTAATGTATAGCAGACATTAAATCTCAAAGCATTGAGAATCACAGATTTAGGTGACACTGTTTCCCAAAGAAAGGCAATTACCAGGACAAGAGTAATGGACAATTATTCATGATTAGTTTGTAAGGCTGGAAAGGATCTTATAGGTACATATGGCTCAGATTCAGAGCAGCCCACCTTTGGGGGAACTTCTGTGAGACAGAAGGATGGAAGGGAGAATGGTGTGTTGGGAGAAAGAAACCCTAGAGAGCATGTCACTCCTTACATTCCTCCCTACATGTCACAGCTTTGCCTGGGGCCTCCCTGAAAGCAGAGATTTTCAACCTCTTCTAGATTAGGCTGTACTAAAGCACTTTGTTCCAGCCCTGATGTAGACAAATATGTTCAAATTTCAGAGAAAATTTGGGTATTATGTTTATCTTTTACATAAAATTTAAGTACATTATAATTGCCACAGTATTTTTGCAGGTAAACATGGAAATTGGGAGAGAGAATTCTTAGAAATTGTTTTGCAAATCTCAAATTTTACCAAAGTTTTCCACAAGCTAAACACCTTGCCTTAGAGAATTTTCAGTACTCTAGTTTGATAATCACTAATTATATCACTAATCATGACACTCATCTGATCACATTAGGGCATCTTGTTAAGATAAGGCAGTAAGATGTCACTGAGAAGTCAGAGATTAGGGTACATTAGAATTGGAAGTGGTTTAAGAACTGATTCTAGTTGAACCTTCTCATTTTTCAAATAGGCTAACAGGCTGAGAGATGAAATAACTACCTAAGATCCAATGCTGGTAAAAAAAAAAAGGCCGGGTTTTAACTGGAAATAAAATGCAAAGCTTCCAGAACAAACTTGAAGGGGTCAAACATATAGGAAACCTATTTGGAAAGGTTTTAAGATAAGATAAAACTTTCAGATAATATCTGATTTTCATTAATCAGAGGTGTCCGTCAAGCCTGCCAGGAAAACAATAATGAGCATATAGTCTGTTTCATTCTTTTATCAGCGAGCCACGAGCAGGAGGAGGGCATGGGTTGTCAAATCATTGACTCCAAGTGTTCAATTTTGGTAGCCTGGAAAGAGATGGGTATCGCTCTAATGTGTCTTTATTTGTTTTGTCATCTTAAGAAGAAGCCAAAGCCCAACATACAACAGGTGGTAGACCAATATTTGTTGAAAAATATTAGAAGGAAAAGAAAATTAGAAAGATGAGTTTAACCAAAGAATATTAATATGTTTACTTTAGTGTCTGACCAGACAGTGAGTGTGGGGGACCTCTATGGACAAAACCTTTCATCTTTTGGTCTATCTTAGAATTGGTTGAATAACTTTAGAACTCTGGTTCTTCAAATTTGGTGTGCATAACAATAACTTAAGTACCTTTTAAAATGCAGATTCCTCGGCCCCATTCTTGGGGATTTTTATTCAGTAGGTCAGCATAGGGTTCAGGAATTAATTATTCCATAAACATTTATTGAGCACTTATTATATGCCAAGCACTGTTATAGGAACTGGAGTACCAGGGTAAACAGGACAGCTTCTACTCTCCAAGGCTTACATGCTAGCAAAGAAGACAAACAATAAACGAATAAACAGACAAATATGCAGAGGAGTCTGCATTTCTATTAAATATCCAGATGATTCTGATATAGGCAGATTGAAGTCCATATGTTGAGAAACCCTGCTTTAGACCTGGACATTTTAGCCTGGGAGGTATTTAAATAATTGTGCAACATGCTAGTTAAGTGCTTTTCATATGACCCATGGTTGGAGCCCATCGTGGCAGGAGGGCAGTGAGCAGGAGAACTCTGGATGTAGCATTGTACATCCTCTGCCTGTCCATATGTTGTTGGGTGAGAGGTCGTTGGGTGACAGCCAGCTGACTATCCTCTGAGGATTCAAAGCTATCTGGCAAGTCCTGCCTTTTCTGCACAATCATCTCCTGGTGCCTGGGAGACTTTGGTTGATAGCTACCAAATATTTGATGTCTGGCCCCAAAGTTTCTCTAGAGTATAAATGTGTTCCTGTAATATGTACACATCTAGCCTTTGTGCTCACAGTTAAGTAGCTACTGATGCTTTGTAACACTGCTCTCAATTAGTCGTTAGTGTTTATGAAGGGACCATTGAACCAGATTGCTGCTTTGGATGTGGCTGCTTTGCATAGAGATTTTGGGTAGGTTTTGGCTATAGGGTCAGATAGTTCCACAAAGTTGCCTGGGCAATATCCCAGATAGAATGACAGACTAAACCACCAGCTGGAAAGATCTTTTCTTTGTGGGAAGAAGCAAAAGACACAAATTATACTTTGGACTGTGGGCCTAGATACATGCCTATATTAACCATGGCTCCAAAGGAAAGAACTATCTTATTATAAGCAGCAGATTACTAGAGAGTCTATACATCTAGGTAGGCTTAAACCTGTCACATTTGGGGTGTTGAGTCATTGGTTGATCTTGTTCCTTGCTGAAACTGTAGAGATTCTACCAGCCTTTCCTAAGTGAGTAGGGTTTGGGCTCTGTTCAAAGAAATGTGTGCAAAGAAGGCGGTTCCTTCCTGTTAGAAACTGACTAACATTACATTATAGCAACACCACCAGCAGTGATAATGAATGACCAGTTTCAGATGCAGAGACTGCACTGAGCCTAACAACTTGATCCTTGCTCTTCCTGCCAACCCTAAAAGAGAGTTATTTTAGCACTTAACGTTGCAGATTAGGCAACTGAGGCTAAGGGGGGCAGTTGACTATGGCTAAAAGCTTGTAATGTGGAGATAGGACAATGGGTTCCTGCCCCAGATCCTATGCTAACTCTGTGTACTTGAAGAATTAAGTTCTTCTTTTTACTCATAAGGTGATAATAGTACTTGTCTCACAAGGTTTGTATGAGAATTAAATGAGATAGTCAGTATAAACAACATAAACCACTAAGTATAAAACTCTGCCTAGTGTATAGTAGCCACTCAATACCTGTTTGATAGTTTTGTTGTTCTAGCAGTAGTACTAGCATTGTGTGGCTTGCAGAATGTCACACAGCTAGCAGGAGGCAGATTTCAAACATAGAGCTGTCTGATATAAAAACCCAGATTCGTGGCATTGTACAACTAACTACCTTAACTTAACAAGAAGGTTTTGAGGTTAAGTTTCAGAAATACAATAATATGCAAAATTTCCATAAGATTTTCTGGAAGCCCCTGAATTGAGTAGTTCCTTGACCCCAATTCGTATTGCTATCAGCACTGGCTAGTAAATATAGAAAACATGTAACCTCATCCTAAG